TTCCCCTGGAAAGGAGAAAAAAGAAAAAAAAAAAAAAAGAAAAAAAAAAGAAAGAGGAAAAATGCACGGGAACGTATCGATATCGGCAGTTTCATGACCAAATCCGCGAGTGAAATCGGTCCACCAACGATATTCGATATTTCGTTCGGTCGATGTAACTCGCTTTTCACGAGGAAACAAACGGCGCGAATCGAAACCATCGCGAATTCCGATTCTTTCGTCGGAATTACGATTCAGCGACGAAACCGTTGCAACGGAAGTGGAACGTCGAGGTGCGAGGTTCGCTTCGACGTCTGATCGATTTATCGGCGGAACATTCGCTTATGACGCTTATGACGAGTTCCTAATTGACGAAGATCGCAAACACCGCGCTAATTCCGCTACCTCGTTCAAAAGAGTCGACTACGAACATGCTCCGAAGCTAGTCAAGGATACTCCAGATGCTACTCCGAGTGGAAGATCGTTCTTCGGACGTTCGTGGAAAGATGGTTACCACTCGCGGGTGTTTTTCATGCCCGAGGACACCGAACAAAAGCCCCAAAGATGGAAGAAACGAACGTGGAAAATCCTCGGCGCCGAAGAGAAACGCGTAAAGCAGAAATCCTCGGATGGGGGTACCGTTTAAGCGTGGTAGAATCTCGCTACGTTGTTGCCGATGTGAAAGCGTGGACACGTCATACGCGTTGATACACCATACACCGAGCAGTGCTGTCATTATCCATAGGGGTCTGGGTTTCGTCCAGCTCGACGCGAAGCGATTTGGAAAATTTTTGAATTCCGTCACGCCAGACAAACACGGTTCGACGTTTGCATCCACCATGCTCGAAGCCGTTCGACTTTCCGGGCGTAATTAGCCGATAACGAAGTCGATGGTAATTGGACGACAGAGGGGCGATCGGACGGAGCCGATCGACGAATTCAGGGGAATCTTCTCAGGCTGACGAGGGGTGTGCCTCGGCAACGGGTTTGCCCGATGTCACGGGACACATGTGAAATCGGAATAACCGGCATGGGAACACGCGAAATGCAGATCCGCCTTCGCATATGCCTCGACGGCACGCACGTATGCGCGCCGTACACCGAATTAACGACGACCTAATTGACCGTCGCTAATTCCCTCGTCCTCGACGCCTCCTCCTCTCGACGCTCGCGTCCACCGCCGCGTTTTACGACGGACATCGTTAACACCGACAGCGTCTCTCAAACTTTCTTCTCGGCTCGGCTTCGCGTCGTTCCGAGAGAACACCGTTTTCCTCTCTACTTCGTTCCCCGTCGCCGTCGACCCCGTCCTCGTCCTCGTCCTCGTCGTCCGTCGACGCCATCTTTGCGGCCGCTATCGCGATTTTGTCCACCTTTTTACGCAGCGATCGTCGACCTCACGCGTGGAGGAAATTAGTCGACTCGCGAATGCACTCCGAGTGACTGGAAGATATTTTATTCGTTTTACTCGCACTAGACCTCCGTCATTAACCCGAATTTCGTTGGAGGACGTGGAGTAATGACGCAGCGTAACGCCGCGTTCGCGCTGACACGAATATCTTTGGCGACCGAGTTGCTGCTCGTTGCCGGCCGCGTTATGGCTGTTTTACAGCAAGAAGAGTATCCGTTTACCGGTGACCTTATCGCGGGGTATGCTCGCAGAGAACGGAGAACACAGGCTAGGGAACACGTTGGAAGCTGCAGAGGGAAGAGCCTCTGGCGCAGAAATGGCTGGATGATTCATCCCGCACGATTATCGGCTGGTCAGAATTCGCGCGATTCGGCCACGGTAACGTCGTAACCGGTTTTGATTTCCCGTTGAAACGCCAACAGGAAATTAACGACGAATCGCATGCCGTAACGGCCGACTGTATCAGCTTTAAACCCGTTAGACAATCGGGGGGTAATTGTGGCCTGGACTTGCGTCGCGCCGACCCAATTATACCGAGTCGAATTAACCGCGTTTTCGGATCGGATCGGCGATACAGCGAACGCGCGTTACGCGAACGGAAGGAGAACGTAATCGCGAAAGTAGGTAGAGGGACCGATCGCGATCGAAACGTAACGAAATTACGGCGATTTACGTCAGCCCGGAAAACGAACGGACGATTCGGCTAGAGGCTGCGGCCGCAACGCACGCGCCAGCGACCGAGCTTTCGGCCCGGATGGCTCTCGGCCACGATGATTTTCGACCCGCATTATGGCTCGCGGATCCGAGTTATTTGAATTTAATTACAGCCGCAGGGACCAGCGCAGGCACGAAGCATCCGTGGCACAACGGTGCCAGCGGAATTTAATATTCGTCACGAACCTATGCGTTACGGGAACGTTGGCGAACGAAACGACGCGATGCGGCTAATTCGTCGAACGAGCGCGCGATGTAATTATCGCCAACGCGAAAACGTTTATTACACGCTGTTTGACCGGTTTGCGGAATTTCTCTCGCGCTCGATTATTAATCGCCAGCGCCGCGCGGACTTTTCGGGCGAAACGCTGCTCGTCGACTTCCGTTCGCAGAAGAGGTCGTCTCCGGGATCACGGGCAGGCAACGAGCGAACGGAGAAATTGAAAAAAAGGGAGAAAAGTTGTAAGTTCTTGGAGCATCGTTTGCGTCAAGGGATAAAGTTGGCCGGTTCGGTCCATCGAAGAGGAGAGGACCCGGTTCGCGCGTACATTTGGCCCATCTTTTTGCGGGACACCGTTTTTTCCCTTGGTCACCCTTGACGTCAATCTCGTTCCCATAAACGGCGCACATGTGCGTTCGCGTTTCGGCGGTTCCGTTCGCGGCATCGTCGTCTCGCCGGTACGAGCGGCCAATCAAAATTCCACGATGACCCAGTTCTTTCTCGATCAATGTCTCGATTCTTTCTCGATGTCTCAACCTTCGCAGGACCTCGTTACATCGATCGCGTGCTTTGATCGCGTCTCCGAGCACCTTCCGTTTTAATTGACCTCGAGAAGAAGTGGCACGATCTACGGGTCTATTGGGCTAGCCATTCAGCCGTCTCGAAATATTTAATCTCGGCAAACCGCGGTTAAAAAGAGAGCTCGCTCCGCTTCCGCGATACCCGCGCGGAATTTCTTGGATCGACGGGTAATTCGACCAGCCCCCGGCCAGGGATGCAAATTACGACTGCTCGGTTAAATCCGAGCTAACCGAATTCCTCGGTGAGCTCCGACCATCCGACGAGGAAACTTTGTCGGGCGAAGAAACGCGAGTTATTTGCGCGCGCCGAGATTCGCCGAAGAGTTCTCCGTGTTCCTCGAGGATTCCCGTCGCGAGCCATATTTCGACGTCGCAAAAACCAGCTGGACTCGTATCCCTCGATCGACAAATAAAACTTCTCGAGCAGGAAACGCGACCGCGGTTCTCTTCCTCGACGTTTCATCCGTGTCGCGAGCAGAGCGGACAGCGCGAAGCGTGAAACCGGCGAAAGAATTAAACGATAATTACGGTTTATTCGAGACCTACGCTAAAACGACCCACGCTCCAGCTCCGGCACTCGAGCGACGAGCCCAAGCCCTGTCCTGTTTCCAACGCAGCGTGGTCCGCTTTGAAACGCAAATTTTCGCGACCCTCGAGGAGAAGTCTGGGCCCGATGGAGAGGAATCGGTTGCCGGTGGACTCGATCAAGGCCGAATACTTGGCGCCAGAACACGGTTCCCCTAATCGATGCTTCCCAAAGGTATTTTTAGTCCGCGATTCCTCACGCGAGGCACGAGCTTCCGTTCAAAGGGGAAGTCCGTCGTCGGACATCGCGGCGGCGGTCAAAGTCGCGAGTATATTTACGGGTGGAAGGCGTCGCGACGGAGAATACGCGCCGTTTCATTCGTAGCCAACGCGGATCGCGCGGAATGAAACGATGGACGAGGTGAAGCGGTCGATAGTCGGGGAAAACGGAAGCAAAGTTGGTCGCGTTTGTTGGAAATTGGACTAGAGTGGCCCTAGAGGCAGCGAGCTTGCTCATTGTTCGCCCCGATGTCAAGGACCTCTCCCACTCCACCTTTGTCTCTGTCTCTCGATGTAATTAGCATCGAGGCGCGCGAGAGCACGGGAAACGTGGCCCACTGTTTCTCGGACGCCGCGTTTCCCGCGGCCGAATTTTCGGGGACAAGAACGTCCCCGCGGGATTCTTGCCAGCGAACCAAGGCCCTCAGCTCTCACGCGCCAATCGATTTTCTCTCTCGAACGAAGGCCGCTCGTTGAAAACAGGCGTGAATCACGGACAAAGGCTAGAGAATATTCCTCTAACGATTTCCCTTGGTCGACTCTCTGTTGCAGGACCATCCCCAGATTTCAGCAGGCACGCGTTGGTTAGACCGCGGGTCTATCACGGCAGGAGCAGACGTCAGATCTCTTCGACCAAAGAGAACGTAAGTAGCGTTTCTCGACGCCTCGTGATCCTTTTCCGACATCCAGTGCACCGAGATTCCACGCTTCGTTCGCGCCACTTTCACGTCGCAAAAAACACGCAATACACGCGCGAGGACGCGCTCGCCGCCGCGAGATTTCGCGCGAATTATTCCGCCACGGTGATTTCGCGTGTTTGCTCGCGGGGAAATTAGAAATCGACGGGTAATTAGCGGCGGCCACGCGTGTTCGCGCTCGCGCCACCGGCGTCGAATGCCGCAACAATTTCGATGCAAATGTCGCGTCGCTGCGCGAATACGAAATCCGGGATAGCGTCGTTAACCGTGACCCACCCGCGGTGCGCTCGATCGCTGCCGAGCGGGTGCAATTTCCTCCGCAACGTCCAGGATATCATCCCATTCTTGGTCACGCTTCCGTCGGGACGCGACGCGTCGCAGCATCCGTTAAGGGACCTCGTCCCGAACACGGGCCCGGTTCTCGCCTCGTGCCCGCGTCAAAGCAGATGTTCCGCCGAAGTGTTTTGTACCCGGTTATTTTTAAACCGATGAATCCTCTTAACGCGAGATGCGTGGAAAACGAAATAAACAGAGCGTCTCCGTTGTATTTTTGACGCGAGGTAGATCGAAAGACGGTTGCCGATTAAAACCGACGAAAATATCGTCTGGCGCCTGAAGCGGGGCGCTGGAACCTGCACGATTCGCAGCCAAACGCGGTTTCGTTGGGAAAAAGTGGCGGTGCGGAAGCCGCGGAACGGTTGGAACATGGGAAAACGGGATGATCGAAAGATCCGCGTGCAACAACACACGGGGACATCGCGTTCCCAGCTGCGGCGAATTCGACGCTACACGCGATTCCGCCGCGTCTCGTCGAGCGGAACGATACGCGCCGCTGAGGGTAAACACGGGCAATAGAAGCGAGGAGCAAAGTTTGACCGATGTTCCGCCGGTGAGAGAGAACTACTTGCACGCGTGTGCACGTTTCCTTGCTGTTTGCCGCCAGTTCGGAAACATTAGCATAGACAGGGAGGATAAATAAATAGCGCGGTGCTCAAACACTGTAGACGGTTCACCGATTCCTCCTCTCCGCGTTACGGAGCACTCTGGAACGATCGACGGATCGATCGATCGACGATCGTGGAACGGGATTCGTTGACTCGCGAGTTGCTCGTGGGAAAAGATAAATGAAGGCGGGTTGTATCTATTACGCAGTGTTTGCGTACTGGTGCAGAGCAAACGGGAGGAAAATTCGGGAAGCGGAATGGGAAAAAAGGACACGTACGATGGGAGATCGGCGATGGGAACGGTTTGGTCTGGTTCATTTGTAACAGGAGCGATCGTTTCGAATGGCAATCGAGAAAGAGGAGTCGCGGACTCGGGTTGCTCGAGCGGAATCGAACGAGCGCAAAGTCGTTTTGCTCGTTAATTCCAGCAGGTCGAAAGAGTGGAAGAGAGGCGGAATGTACGCGCGGAAATCGGGAACGAGGAAACAATCGTGGAGCTGATAGTGGCCGAGGCATTAGAAGAATCGCTCGGTTGCCTAATGCCGTAGACCCTAAACCAACGGTGATCTCGCGGCGTCAACGATGTAAGTCAATTGACCTCGTTTCTCGTTATCACGGGGAAGAATGAACGCTATCAGTGTGTCTGTCCACGGCGACGAATCTAATTTCCTGCTACGTAGCTTCGTTCATATCGTACGTCGCAACTCGCAGCTGATCCCCATGTCGCGATTTTCCGATAGCTTCCCGAACAGAGCGTCCCGGATCGTCCGGGGTGACTCGTAACAGTTTGTCAGCTATCCAGCTCGGCATAATCGAGAAACCCGACATCTATGCCTATCCTACTTTCGCCGTAATAGTCTCGTTTTTACGGCGATCCGCGGTAAAGTTTGCTATTCGCGGTGTCGAACGAGAGAGCAACGTCGTTAACGTTCTTCCCTCGGCATT